TGCAGAACAAAGATTTGCAGTTTGTACCCAACAGTCATTGCCAGGGACCCAGAACTGATAATCAGGACTTTTAGGCTGGGTGAATAAAAAATTGATGGTTGAAAATTTAAGAAAGAGTTATCTTCTTTGTGTTTTGACATTTTGGAGGAGTTGACAGATAAAGACAAGGCTTGGGGGTATTTCCAATGACAAGGAGGTGCTTGGAGCTGGAGTTGAACCAACGACCTTAGGATCACAGCGTTTCACACAAGGAGCATCTTACAGTCCACCGCTCTACCAACTGAGCTATCAAGGTGCTCTCTAGTCACAAGTGCAGAAAACATAGTGGCTTCGAAGACACACTATGCCCACAGAACTATTCCAACCCATGGTCAATGAAAAGCCCAGCCCTACCTGCAGAACAAAGCTTTGCAGTTTTTACCCAACAGTCATTGCCAGGGACCCAGAACTGATAATCAGGACTTTTAGGCTGGGTGAATAAAAAATTGATGGTTGAAAATTTAAGAAAGAGTTATCTTGTTTGTGTTTTGACATTTTGGAGGAGTTGACAGATAAAGACAAGGCTTGGGGGTATTTCCAATGACAAGGAGCTGCTTGGAGATGGAGTTGAACCAGCGACCTTAGGATCACGGCGTTTGACACAAGGAGCATCTTACAGTCCACCGCTCTACCAACTGAGCTATCAAGGTGCTCTCTAGTCACAAGTGCAGAAAACATAGTGGCTTCGAAGACACACTATGCCCACAGAACTATTCCAACCCATGGTCAATGAAAAGCCCAGCCCTACCTGCAGAACAAAGATTTGCAGTTTGTACCCAACAGTCATTGCCAGGGAGCCAGAACTGATAATCAGGACTTTTAGGCTGGGTGAATAAAAAATTGATGGTTGAAAATTTAAGAAAGAGTTATCTTGTTTGTGTTTTGACATTTTGGAGGAGTTGACAGATAAAGACAAGGCTTGGGGGTATTTCCAATGACAAGGAGGTGCTTGGAGCTGGAGTTGAACCAGCGACCTTAGGATCACTGCGTTTGACACAAGGAGCATCTTACAGTCCACCGCTCTAACGACTGAGCTATCAAGGTGCTCTCTAGTCACAAGTGCAGAAAACATAGTGGCTTCGAAGACACACTATGCCCACAGAACTATTCCAACCCATGGTCAATGAAAAGCCCAGCCCTACCTGCAGAACAAAGCTTTGCAGTTTGTACCCAACAGTCATTGCCAGGGACCCAGAACTGATAATCAGGACTTTTAGGCTGGGTGAATAAAACATTGATGGTTGAAAATTTAAGAAAGAGTTATCTTCTTTGTGTTTTGACATTTTGGAGGAGTTGACAGATAAAGACAAGGCTTGGGGGTATTTCCAATGACAAGGAGGTGCTTGGAGCTGGAGTTGAACCAGCGACCTTAGGATCACAGCGTTTCACACAAGGAGCATCTTACAGTCCACCGCTCTACCAACTGAGCTATCAAGGTGCTCTCTAGTCACAAGTGCAGAAAACATAGTGGCTTCGAAGACACACTATGCCCACAGAACTATTCCAACCCATGGTCAATGAAAAGCCCAGCCCTACCTGCAGAACAAAGCTTTGCAGTTTGTACCCAACAGTCATTGCCAGGGACCCAGAACTGATAATCAGGACTTTTAGGCTGGGTGAATAAAACATTGATGGTTGAAAATTTAAGCAAGAGTTATCTTCTTTGTGTTTTGACATTTTGGAGGAGTTGACAGATAAAGACAAGGCTTGGGGGTATTTCCAATGACAAGGAGGTGCTTGGAGCTGGAGTTGAACCAGCGACCTTAGGATCACAGCGTTTCACACAAGGAGCATCTTACAGTCCACCGCTCTACCAACTGAGCTATCAAGGTGCTCTCTAGTCACAAGTGCAGAAAACATAGTGGCTTCGAAGACACACTATGCCCACAGAACTATTCCAACCCATGGTCAATGAAAAGCCCAGCCCTACCTGCAGAACAAAGCTTTGCAGTTTGTACCCAACAGTCATTGCCAGGGACCCAGAACTGATAATCAGGACTTTTAGGCTGGGTGAATAAAACATTGATGGTTGAAAATTTAAGCAAGAGTTATCTTCTTTGTGTTTTGACATTTTGGAGGAGTTGACAGATAAAGACAAGGCTTGGGGGTATTTCCAATGACAAGGAGGTGCTTGGAGCTGGAGTTGAACCAGCGACCTTAGGATCACAGCGTTTCACACAAGGAGCATCTTACAGTCCACCGCTCTACCAACTGAGCTATCAAGGTGCTCTCTAGTCACAAGTGCAGAAAACATAGTGACTTCGAAGACACACTATGCCCACAGAACTATTCCAACCCATGGTCAATGAAAAGCCCAGCCCTACCTGCAGAACAAAGCTTTGCAGTTTGTACCCAACAGTCATTGCCAGGGACCCAGAACTGATAATCAGGACTTTTAGACTGGGTGAATAAAACATTGATGGTTGAAAATTTAAGAAAGAGTTATCTTCTTTGTGTTTTGACATTTTGGAGGAGTTGACAGATAAAGACAAGGCTTGGGGGTATTTCCAATGACAAGGAGGTGCTTGGAGCTGGAGTTGAACCAGCGACCTTAGGATCACAGCGTTTCACACAAGGAGCATCTTACAGTCAACCGCTCTACCAACTGAGCTATCAAGGTGCTCTCTAGTCACAAGTGCAGAAAACATAGTGGCTTCGAAGACACACTATGCCCACAGAACTATTCCAACCCATGGTCAATGAAAAGCCCAGCCCTACCTGCAGAACAAAGCTTTGCAGTTTGTACCCAACAGTCATTGCCAGGGACCCAGAACTGATAATCAGGACTTTTAGACTGGGTGAATAAAACATTGATGGTTGAAAATTTAAGAAAGAGTTATCTTCTTTGTGTTTTGACATTTTGGAGGAGTTGACAGATAAAGACAAGGCTTGGGGGTATTTCCAATGACAAGGAGGTGCTTGGAGCTGGAGTTGAACCAGCGAACTTAGGATCACAGCGTTTCACACAAGGAGCATCTTACAGTGCACCGCTCTACCAACTGAGCTATCAAAGTGCTCTCTAGTCACAAGTGCAGAAAACATAGTGGCTTCGAAGACACACTATGCCCACAGAACTATTCCAACCCATGGTCAATGAAAAGCCCAGCCCTACCTGCAGAACAAAGCTTTGCAGTTTGTACCCAACAGTCATTGCCAGGGACCCAGAACTTATAATCAGGACTTTTAGACTGGGTGAATAAAACATTGATGGTTGAAAATTTAAGAAAGAGTTATCTTCTTTGTGTTTTGACATTTTGGAGGAGTTGACAGATAAAGAAAAGGCTTGGGGGTATTTCCAATGACAAGGAGGTGCTTGGAGCTGGAGTTGAACCAGCGAACTTAGGATCACAGCGTTTCACACAAGGAGCATCTTACAGTGCACCGCTCTACCAACTGAGCTATCAAAGTGCTCTCTAGTCACAAGTGCAGAAAACATAGTGGCTTCGAAGACACACTATGCCCACAGAACTATTCCAACCCATGGTCAATGAAAAGCCCAGCCCTACCTGCAGAACAAAGCTTTGCAGTTTGTACCCAACAGTCATTGCCAGGGACCCAGAACTTATAATCAGGACTTTTAGACTGGGTGAATAAAACATTGATGGTTGAAAATTTAAGAAAGAGTTATCTTCTTTGTGTTTTGACATTTTGGAGGAGTTGACAGATAAAGAAAAGGCTTGGGGGTATTTCCAATGACAAGGAGGTGCTTGGAGCTGGAGTTGAACCAGCGAACTTAGGATCACAGCGTTTCACACAAGGAGCATCTTACAGTCCACCGCTCTACCAACTGAGCTATCAAGGTGCTCTCTAGTCACAAGTGCAGAAAACATAGTGGCCTCGAAGACACACTATGCCCACAGAACTATTCCAACCCATGGTCAATGAAAAGCCCAGCCCTACCTGCAGAACAAAGCTTTGCAGTTTGTACCCAACAGTCATTGCCAGGGACCCAGAACTGATAATCAGGACTTTTAGGCTGGGTGAATAAAACATTGATGGTTGAAAATTTAAGAAAGAGTTATCTTCTTTGTGTTTTGACATTTTGGAGGAGTTGACAGATAAAGACAAGGCTTGGGGGTATTTCCAATGACAAGGAGGTGCTTGGAGCTGGAGTTGAACCAGCGACCTTAGGATCACAGCGTTTCACACAAGGAGCATCTTACAGTCCACCGCTCTCTATCAAGGTGCTCTCTAGTCGCAAGTGCAGAAAACATAGTGGCTTCGAAGACACACTATGCCCACAGAACTATTCCAACCCATGGTCAATGAAAAGCCCAGCCCTACCTGCAGAACAAAGCTTTGCAGTTTG